ATGAACATTAAAGTCCCACATACTGTAATGAATAACAAATGTTAAACAGCTTAAAACCTGTATAAAGCTGGTACTAGAGCATCCACTGTCCTGAAATATTAAACTCAAGGTCATCTCTCAACATTAGTAAAAGGCTATCAGGCAACACGAAACAGTATTGGGGACATTTTATTTAATAAATCAGAAGTAGACTCACCATGAAACTAGCCTTGGAAGGGCACTCAGTACTTTTTAAAGAAATCTCCTGATGCTTCCCATTCTTGCAAGCTATAATCAATTCTTTTTATGGAGTGCCTAATAGAAAGACAAACTTTAATTCATTTTGGCATTCATTGATTTAAGTATTTGGGACTACAACCTCACCTAACTACAGCTACTGGTACAATAACCTTTAGAAAGTTGAACCACAAAGTCAAAACAGTTAATATAATTCTGAGAGAATAATATTCAAATTTATAAACCACACCTGGTCAAACTGCACCTTAGCCTGTATCTTATTTTGGTCATTGAGCGTAAGGAGACATTCAAATGCTTGATTTTGCAAAGAAGGTCCAAAAGATGAATTATTTGTATTCAAGAGGAGACTGACAAAGTTGTGTTTACAAAACTGGAAATAGAGGAGGTCTTGTCTGTAGGTTGTGTAAACAGCAAATCTAGATTACTTAAATGTTGAGTGTCACATGACGAGATGTGGGTTCAACCTCATGTAAGGTAATTTTTAACAGATATTTGAATATTTGTCTTCACCTAAAGTGCTAAATAGATCAAACTAATTCACAGCAGTGGAGGTAAAATCCTGGAATAATTTATGAATTTAGGTATATTATATGTTTTCTAGCTGGATAAAGCAAGATGGCGAAAATAGGCTTGCTCACTCCTCGTGATTTAACAGGCAGTGTTAGCATAATTACAAATAGATTGCCGACAATTACTAGTTTGAAGGCACTAGCTGACTGCAGTGGCCATTTTTATATCCCTTTGTCTATTCTTCCTTCTATGAAGCAGAATACTTCTACTTCACTGGTAAAATATTATTCTGTTCTACAATCAGAAAAATGTTGAAAAATTGAAACACATTTTTGATAAGCAAATTTAGCAGTTCAGGCTTTTGTTTTTATTAAAATATATTAAACGAAAATTATTGTACTTTTAAAGAAAATAATTGAAGAGCTTTGAGGCATTTTAATAAGAAGAAATAACGTAACAATAAAAATACGATTTCGTTCAGGAATATTTCATTTCCAGAGAATGCAATCTGAATTTACCTTTCGTTCTTTTATGACAGAGTTAATTTGGTGCAATGATTTTATGCATGGCTTTGCCTAATTCATTCATTGTATTTGAAATTGTACATATTTCCAAGTGTCCTGCTGTCAATGATGTTTTCAAAAAGCTTGTGTGCTAAAGTAAAACAATTAATTTCCGTTTGGTTGCCGTGCTGAATTCAGCCTTTACAAAGCGTCAGTCCTCATGCTAACATTAAACTAAAGGTGGCCCACTCAAAATAATAAACGTGCAAATCTCAGTTCACATTCCTTCAGAATGGCTTGGGCGGCCCCTTTACGAATCGAAATATATATGAACATTCCCTCCCCACGCCATTAAAGGCATACATGATTTTTAGTTTCTTATCCAAAGTTTGCGTTCCTCTACGATACTCCGGAAAATATGGGGGTGTGTAGTTCAGCAAGTTGCCGCTTGGGAGCGCTTTGCTTGCTGTCTTGTTTTACCGCATTGCAGGGACGCCCCCAAATTCCTGTCGTGCATGGAACGCATTCCGATAAAAATTACAGGAGACATTTTGGCGAGTGTTAAAATTCGTACTTTCAGACTAAAAATTGACAATTCCCGCAAAGCATTGCAGGGGTAATAAACCTTCTGTACTACCGCCTGAGACTACAATTAAAACGAGTTGGTCAATTCTCCCTTCTTCGTTTGTGGTTGAAAGAAATTTTCTCGTTAATACAACGCAAAAGAATGGATTATTCGAATAAAATTCTCCATTTCGTGTTCAATTGAACTCAAGTAATGAAATGAAGAGGCACTCGTTTTGCTTTACCTTTCTTATATAGAAACAAGGCCGATTCTCCTACTTCATCCTCTTGTGTTTGAACAATAAATTTAAATTCCAGCCAGATTTTCCTTCCAATTGATAGGAAAAGACGATTTGAATTATGTTTTTGTTTTTTCTTTGGAAAAATAGGGTCCATACAAAGTTGCATTTATTGCAAATCAAGTGTACTGTGTTAGGAGCAAGAACAGAAGATTTACAGAGTGCAGAATATTTTAAAACAAAACAAAGAAAGCTTTGTGTGTTATAAGTAGTTGTCACTTTTCGCCAGCTATCGGAGAACAAATTCGATACGAAAAGAAGCTAAAACTAGAAATATATTTATCAGTGAAAAGGTTGAATGCAGGTTTCAAATAAAGTTTAGTGACAATTTCTTATTTTTGCAGCCATAAACAATACCAAATACTAAAACGTTTAACAGTCCTCTGATGCTGCTTGGCCTGCTGTGTTCATCCAGCTCTACACCTTGTTATAACAGTCCGCCTGCACCTGGTTAGAGCAAGGTTTTCGATTAGTCATTACAGCCCAAATAGAACAAAACTGTATGATTTATTACAATAAAGGCAAAATGCTGCGATTGCTGGAGTTACGTCCTTGATTGGTTTTTGTTACACGTGGGCAATACATACTTTGGCTGATGAGTATGTAAGACTGAAAAAAAAAAGCCAACCTAATACCAATCTAGATAATACTGAAATATAATCTTAAAATGTCCCAGGTTACTAGTTTGAAGATACAAGCAACGTTATTGCATTGACGTAAATAAAGGGGTGAGAAATGGAAATCGACTGAATACGGTTAAACCATTTATGCATAGATATTTCTGCAGGTACGGTGACAGTTAACTGCAGAAATTGTGAAGAATTGCATTCCCCTGTTTAATGGGATATGACCATCCAGAATCACAGAACCGTTTCAAAATTGAAGGCGTCCGTTTGGCCATCGAATTCTCTGCAAGCACAATTTAATTGGTCCCATTCCCACTGAGCAGACGCACGGTGTGGGGGTGAGTTGAACGTCGATAGTTACCTGTGTTCAAGTCACCTTTAAGTAGTTAGCAAGAACAATGCATATCAGTGAAAAAGCACATTTTCTGTAACAATCCTGCGGCTGCACAATTCGAATCTTTACCAAAATTTGCTATAAATTATTTCACTCAGTATCTAACAACAGACATTAACTTGCTTTTTAACATGTAATTGCAGTTTTAAAAAAATCGTGTGAGTTCATCGGTGTTGTGTCAGAGATAGGGTTTTCTGGTATTTGTCCATGAAATCTTTGGGGAAAATGCTGAGAGTGGTTAACGAACTACGAAACGGTCTTATCATACCAGGAGCAGCGACCAATTTCCTGCAAGGTTATTCATCCATCTGATTTTATCTTTTATCTACCAATACAGAAGGCAATAACTCATCTGTCCTAAATTGAAGTCAAGGTTTCTTGCGTTAAAATCGCATGGCAAAATAAACGTGAAAATATTAAGTATCTATAAATAATATATGCACGTGATTGCTTCCACGATTCAATGCGAATTATAGCCTATCTCCTTTGTAAGTGAAATACTTTTGTACCAATTCTATAAAATCCCGTTCTTCATTCTATTTCCCCTTTCCAATGACACTGTACTCATTAAAATAATCAGTCTCGATACAAGAAACTGCATGTACTTGGATCAAGTGACTCTGACGAACACGATTTTGCATTCATTAAATACGATCTTGAAACACCAATCATGCAGATATATGAATTGAGAATCTATATTTAACAATTCACTAAAAAACGCTCTGATAATCGATAACATCATTGCCCCTATTTTAATTCCGCAGATTCGCACTACCTAAACCTAAATGTGGGTTGATCCTACAATCGTTATGGAGTCTGTAATCTGTCGTGAAATTAAATATCGTTAGTTACATAATATTAAAATAAAGTAACTCGTTGCTGGGTGAGCATTTAATTGTGCTGATTAATGCGATTCATCAATCGACTAATAGTTCGTATTTCTATCGATTAATTTGATACATTTTTGATATATGCGTTGCTAATCTAGCAATGAATTGGTATGGTTTCCTGCCTAACTGTCTGAAATTAAAATGTATGTGGTTTCTCTACTTTGTCGTTTAAAAAAAAGCAAAAGTCTTCAAGCGGTTTTGGAGTCGACCCTGTAGGTGGAACATTCATATGCAAATAATGTGCGGCTTGTGCCTTGAGTATCACTGTTAACATGGAGAGCACAAGCGCCATTATCTCTCAAAGTCGTCAAAAGAACATCAGTTGTGGCATTTGTATTCAATCTATTTTAAACAATGATCATTCACTGATCAAAATACCTGTAATTCCACAGACTTCAACGTTAGAAACAACACCACCAAAATGTACTAGATAGTCATTTATTTTGCCATATATTATATATATATTTATATTACACAATATATACTTCAAGTTAAACTTCGCATTATACATTCCGCCATGTATAACCACACCACACAGACGGTTTAAAACATTTCCACATGTTCATGAAATAATCGCTTAGATAGCACATATATTCCTCTCCCATATAATAAACATGGATTTTAAGACGTTCCCAGTCTCTTGCCTAGAGACCTCGTTGTCGAAACCTTATAATGTTGGGATGCGAGTTGGTGACAACAAACCCCGCCAGTACTGCATATTTGAAATACTGTGGAAATACTTCAAGGTGTTTTTGAAGGTTGGCCCTGTCATCTTCACTTATAAAACGCCGAATTACAATTGCATGAGCTGCCGCAATGCGGTCAGAATTGTAATTTTTTTCATAGTTCCTGCGCTTCATCGTTTTTAAGTAACAATTTGAGTCTGCGCAAAATTAAAATGGGCGCCTATCTGAAATGTTTTGTGGATCTTGGGGGTGGAAGGGGGATGGGGGGGAGGGATGCGCCCCAAATGGCTCTCAGTCGCTTGTGTTGGAGGCGAAAGCCTCAATTAGTCCCTCCAGCGAATGGATGAAGCCGGACACACTGCATATAGAACCGATGACAAATATGGAGACATCGAAAAAGACATGATGCCACTGCAGTTTTCGCCACAATATTCTGAGGTGGAAGAGACTCGGGAGCAGAAAACAGAGACCTGCACCCGTTAGGCTCCCAGTCAGGCCCATTAACAGAGCGAAATGGGGGATATACATGGCCATAAACAAGGTCAAGACCACCAGTATGCAGCGTAAAGCTAAGCCCCATGATTTGAGTTTACCATCTACCCCATAACAATTCGTAAACATTGCAATCCTGCCCTCCTGGAAAAAGGACTTCTCTAAGACTTCTACAGCTGCGAAGAATGGCAGCGGATAGGAGAGCAAAGCTTTGGCCACTAGAAAAACGTTGACCACTGCCCTAATAGTAGAGGGCAGGTTGTCTGTGATCACCTCTTTTGTCTCATCTGCCCAGGTTAGATAGGCTACCAGGGCGAACAGTCCCTTTAATATACACGCTGCTATATGAGTCCAGTTCATCATACTGTGGAATTCTTTGGGGCTTTTCATGTTGCCCTCCAGCGACGGCAGGAAGATCTGTGACGTGTAGCTAAAGACGATAATACCGATGGAAATTGGGAACTTTTTTACATCAATGTAGAATTTGACTTTGTCCCAGGCCCAGTCCCGGGCTCGAGACAGGCAGTAGGCGATCACTAAGATGTTAATTACAAAATGTGCCAGAGTGCAGAGCAAACTGAACTTGGACACCGCTTTGAGATTTTTCAGGAACGCGCAAGGTAATAGTATAGCAGTGGCCAAGATAGACCACGACTTTTCAGAGACGGGCAGATTCGGGAAACTGTTATACATAAGGTTGCCACTTACGACCACATACAAAACGCAGGTCATTATTAACTCAATGATTTGGGCTACATTCACGACCCTGCCACCCAGCTTCGGAAAGCGAGGGGCACAGCAGGCATTGGCAATGTCTACATAGGAATCTCTTACTCTCACCAGCTCGCCGTCTTCGTTTTCCTCGTACAGGCAAGCAATCAGGATTTTTCCCGTGTAGCAACACACAACAGCAGCGAAAATGATTAAAAACAGTCCGAGATATCCTCCGTGCAGGATGGCATAGGGGAGGCCCAGGACGAACATACCCTGAAAGACAGACAGTGCAATATGGACAGATTTCTTATCAATATCAATTCTCACAGGAAACTGGGCACAGATTTACAGTACAGGAAATATTAGTAAGACATGCGGAAGATTATACGTTGCAGCTGAACTGTATTATATAATCATCTAATGAATGCTACATAAATTATGTCTTTTATGACAGCCTGCATTCAATGTTGTAGAGGAGGTTATTGCTGCACAAAGTAAATGATTAATCTTCAGTAGCTAATTAAATATATATTATTACTTTTGCATGGCATTCATTATTCTGCATTCAGTTTCAAGGGTATGCATCGGGTGCAGCAAACCGCACGATCTTAGAAATTCAATTTAGATCCTCTATCAATTAGAGCCCATTTTAATTTAATGACACATTCGGATAATTCTATTCTTCCAAAGGACAATGAAGAGATCAGGTGCAATCTGAATCACTGTAACTTTGTATTTATTTTATCATCAATTAAGAGCCAAAGTTGCTGCTCGCCACTACAGTGAGATGAGGTGTTCGTTTTTTGTATAATGAATGGAAAAGATGTCTATTTTACCTGGATGGCATTTGTCACATTCCAGCCCGCTTCCCAGGCAGTGATTTTGGGCTTCCCCTGAGGTGCTAATTCCACACACGGCTCCCCATCCTTGGAGGTTGAAGGAGGCAGACCAGTCCCGTCCCTCTGGTAGTGACTATCGCCCTCAGCCACTGGCTCTGCCTCTCCGCTCACCTCTTCAGGCTTCAAAATGTCCATCTGCAGACCCTGACGATGCTCATAGTCCAAGTCATCACATTGGGCAAATCCTACAGCTTCCTCGTCAGTCGCCGCTTGAAAGCCCATCCTGGCGAACACCCCGCTAACTTTAGCCTGAGATCTGTTCGAGACGGAAGTAGCAACATTTGAAAGCTTGTTTTTTATAAGCGTTGCCATCGCTACTTGCTTCTTGGGAGATTCTCTCGTGTAGAAAAGGGAAGGAGTTTTAAATTGCACGGTAAAGCTTTGTGGAGGGGGAGAGGGGGTATGGGACCCCAACTGCTATCTCCAGTTCTTACTGAAAGTGTACCTGTCCTTCCAGTCTTTTCCGTGGATCATGACAGCTTTTCGCGTTGGACTCTATAACCTTCCCTGCCGCATCCTGAGCCGCTCTCACTCACTGCAAAGTGAAAGCAGCAAACCAGGGAAAGGCGCCGGGTCCGGGCTCGGAGCTTTCTCTCTCTCTCTGTCTCTGCGCAGATATCCGCCCAGTCTGAGCCGCCTAGGTCCCAGTTGGTTCCCTTCAGCCGGAATGATGCCAGTTCTGCTGTGGAGATCCTTAGGGGACGAATGAAAGGCGACGTGTCACACAATTGACAACGCAAGCCATTGCTTTGCTAACCACGTTTCCAAACCCGACACGTTCATCCATTAGCCAGAGAGGCCGGGTGCATTCAGGTGGGAGGAGCGCTCGCCACCGCCAACCCCCCCCCTACTCCCCGACCTCCCGGCCCAACCCCGTCCTATCCAGAACCCTGCTCCAGTTCTCTGCATCATAAGACATCGCAAACTCTGTGATAACTTGCCATTAATATTTGCGTAAATAACAGTAAAGTGCAACGCATTAAAAAGTCCCAGTGAACGGGCATCTCCTCCTATATTTCTGAAATGTACATCAGGTGACCCCAGTGAATGAACGGCATTCTCAGCTCCTGAATTAAACCGACTCTAATTGTTTGTCTTCTGATAGAAAGGAAGCAGAAATTGTACCTGCACAGCGTCAGCTGTTAAAAGTTCCAGACATTTCCTTCCTAGGTTCCTTTCTCCCTTTGGAATAAGACTAAATGTGATCTCTGGATAAGACTTTATAAATCGATGTTTGCCGACTATTTGCATTTCTGTTGAATTGAACGCGAAATGCGGAAATAAATTCGTTTTTGCCGCCGGCGAAATATTCTTTCCGTGATTCAGTTAGTTTTAAAAAACGAGTCCGATGTTTCTAAAATCGTGTGTCAGGGCACCGATTTCAATATTTACCTGTGAATACTGAGGTGCAGAATTGTGCAGAGTCTGGGTAATGGAATTAAGCACTTTTCGACGTAAGATTAGCAAATTAGTGATTTTTTTTTCCCAGTGGAGTGTAGTTGCCACAAGGCAAATATTGCCAAATCCCTGGAACGAGTCTTCCCTGTCAGCAAACATGAAACCTTTTCTTTTTTAAAAAAAAATGCACATTTCCAAACTGTGCTTCTTCACAATTAAAGACAGTTAAGAGACACAAGTATCCCCTCCTGGTCAACATGAAAAATTGCCATAGATCTTCCTGCAATTAAAAAAAAGACTTTAAGGGACCTCTGTTTAATTCTAATCCTTCCAAACCCAAATCAGATTATCCATTTAATTTTCATCAATAGCCCCATTCGTTTAAGTTCTTCAGGTTATCCTCGTTGTGGGAATTTGGAGGGAATTGTGAATTGGAAAGTCACATCTGTCTTTGTATGAAGCAGACTTTAGAATTCGCTCCCAAAAAAAGGATGAAGTTATCTGAACGTTTTAACTTGCACTCGGGTTGTGGGAAGTCATTCTAAACCACCGGCAGTATTTCCGTTTCCTCGCATTTCTCTCAGGGACCACTTGAAATGGAATTAGGGAGTTTGATGCAGCTAATCAACTCGCTGTGCCAAGGGAATTGCCATTTTACTAAGTACGGATCTAATGCATTCTGCTAGTATGTGGAGAGATGAGTGAAACGGATCTTGTTTATTGGACATTTGACAATCAGCCAAACTTACCATGCACGGGATGGTTAAAGTTGCAACTTCACAAACCACTGATGAAAATGTATTCAAAGTCAATTTGAATTCATACAGTTAATTCCATGAGCTGAATGGCGACCGGTTTCTGTTTTTGGTTTACTGATCCTTATCACCATGATTTCAAAATGCAGATTACATATATTCTACTTTTAATTATGAACCTTTCACAACATTTACTTATTTTCCCCCTTTTGCAAACGTTTGCCGTCTTTTTTGTTCTTGTTGGTAATCGATTAAATAATGTGAGGGTGAAACGGTTCTGGCCGATGAGACCAGAAGGCAGCGTTCTCCCGTTTTAGTTAAAATCTGATCATTCTTTCTTTTTCAAATGCAGGACACATGGCCTCCTCACACCAGGAACAGCAACTCCGTCCAGTGGTGTTTACTTTTTGATATGGATTTGCAATTTGAAGGATTCAAAATGATATTGCGTAAGTTTCGAAATTTTGTAATAAATATTAGGCAGTAAAGGCATAATCCCTGTGAAGTCAAATTACAGGAGGATTTAAAAGAGGACACATTGAGTTGCAATGGGAAAAGTCCGCCACAGATGCAACGAATTCCTGCAATCAAGAATGATGTACAGCAAACTGCAAGCAGCGAACTAAACACATTCGGACACTCTAGAAAATTAGGTAACTAATTGACAATGAAATACAGAATTTGCTTCGCAGACGCGGGGTTTATCAGATATAAATTCATAGGAAATTTCGAATTTATGTAGCATATTTTCAATTAATAACATTTCAAACATTGAAAGTTAGGACAAATGAAGTGCATGTTTAACTGTAAACAACCTGCTACGATACAGTTTGTTGTTACAATGGAAAATACAGTCTATTTTCTGACGTTAAGGAGACGCTGATGTTAAAACAAAAACATTTAAATTGTTTCTCTATATATTTTATCATTATAATCCCAAGCACATAGAAACGATTATTTATTCATTCTATAACTGCCGCAAAAAATGCTACTGCTTTGTGCAGATAAACAAAAAAAAAGTTAGCCAGCTGGCCCCGAACGAGAAAGATTTCAATGACTTGTAATTATATCCTGGACTTCAATTTGTGAAACTTGTTCCACGGGTGAAGGTAGATTAATATTTCCGGGTTTGCGCCCTTGTTGACAGAATCTAAGTAGTAGTTTCAGACGTTTAGTTTCGTGGCAGATTATCTGATTTACAAATGTCATCAGGCAGCATGCAAGTTCTGAGAGTGCTGTTTTATTAGACACGGAAGAATGATTTAGCATTTATTTCTCTTCTTTCAAATCCATGTGACGTCAGACAGGACCTTGCATCAGATAAGTGACTTTTGAAAGTGTGGTGACTATTGTTAAGTAGGTAAACCAGCGGGCCATTCGTGATGGAAAAATAACCACTTCTTGATACTAAGCATTTTTATTTGGTATCAGTGAGTTTTAACTTGCCTGCCTGTGCAAAATGGGATGGTAACTGTAGCTTAATGCTACTGTAACATTGATACAAAGTAGTTTCCAAGACATTAACTCGAAAGCATCCGTACAATGTCAGCAAAAGTATGAAGAGCTTGCTTCCAAATGCAGTAAACTACTAGACCGAGTAAGCGCAGCGATGACAACCAAACTGCGAATTGACACCAGATGAAGTCCAGCTTGAAGACAAATGAAATATATTTATGGGCAAGTTCATCTGAATGATTCCGAGGGGAAGCAGGATTTATGCTCACTCCATACTATTACGTGTTTGCATTAAAATGACATCCTTGGAAATATCCACTGTTATGTATTCTAGAAAACAAATATCTATTGGTTTCACAGTGGGACAAACATTCTTCTTTTGGTTCATCGGCTGGAAGTCACTGAACTGAATGACCGTCTTCTGTCCCATAATAACTTTTTTTTATTCACTCGTGGAATGTGATGTCGCTACCCGTCACTCGAATGACACTAACCTTAATTTAAGGGAGTAATGAGGTATTGTTGCTATCATTGCACTAGCAATCCAGAGACCCGGAATAATGGGTAAGAGGAATGAATTCAATTTGCATTATGGTAGCTGATAAAATTTATCAACAATGAATTAAGAAAGCAGCATTGGCGACTATAAAGCAATTTGATTATTGTGAACCATATCCCGTTTAACAATACCCGTTAGAAAGGAAATTTTTCCTTACCCGGTGTGATGTTCATGTGACTTCAGACCATCAACACTGGGGTTGATTCTGTCTGTCCTCTTGTGGATATTCAGATGCATCAAACCAATGCAGAAAGGTAGCACTGTGAGTGTGCCTACACCACATGTATTGCAAAAGTTCAAAAATGTGGCTCCCTGACTTGTCAAGGACAATTAAGAATGGACAACAAATGCTTGCCTGGACAGTGACAGTCAAATTCAATGTTTATTTTTTTTTTAAAAATCCAAACATGTAGATATGAGTTTTAAGGAAGTTTCACTCTGATACGAGCAACCCTACATCTATTCAAAAAAACTGAAGTTGGTCAATAGTATGAAAAGGAATGATTTTTGCTTCTGTGTGTTTTTTTATATCAATAATAATAAGATATAGCAGAATTTTGCATTTACAAATTGAGAAGGAAAAGGGATGGGATTATCAGCACAGTCATGAAAGTTGTAAATCTGGAGTTTAAGAGCATGGTGTAGCAATTTAGATATATGCATCATAATGGTAAACACCATCCTGCAACACAGGTGAAACACAAAAAAAAACTGTTGCCTGCATTTACTGAGACAGTGGGCACAACATAATAAAATCTGCTGTATAGATAAGTTTTTAAAAGAATGAATGATTTGTAATCATATAGCACTTCTGACAATCACCTTGGCTTCTCAAACTGATTTACAGACAACAAGAACCTTCAAAGTGTAGTCACTGTTGCAGTACAGGAAGTACAGTGGTCAATCTGTGCACAGCAAACACCACGAAATGGTATTGTATTAAGGGAAAATAATCTGTCTCATTGACATGTGACATTGGTTGAGGGATAAATAATGTTAGCACACTGGTGATGACTCTCCATGGCCTTTCTTTAAATAAAGTCAGTTCATTCATCAAAAATTGCAGGGATAATCAACCATCCATAGTGTACTATCTATGGAGTGAGTTAGCAATGTTGCCAACTTTTATGACTGATGAATCTTCC